AGTGAAACGTGGCTCACAGAGCGGGACTTGGACTCGGATCTGTCCATGGACGGCTTCGGGGCTCCACTTCGACTGGACCGACAGGCGGACGTAATGGGGAAACTCAGGGAGGAGGAGCCTGTCTGAATGTTAACAGACGTTACTGTACTGCTGTGACAAGTAGAGAGCCTCACGTTGAACTTTTATCAGTGTCTCTGCGGCCTTTTCATCTACCCCGTGAGTTTCCACAAATCTTTATCACAATCGTGTACATTCATCCGAAGGCAGACACCACCTCTGCCTCCAACACAAGTTTTGATATTGTGCAGAAGCAGCAGTCCATCTCACCTGACGCACCAAACTTCTTAAAAAAAAACACTGAGACATTGTTATCAGTACGTTTCCTGCACAACACGATGTGATAAGACACTGGATTTATGCTACGGTTCAGTGAAGGAGGCTTTTAAAGCGGTCCAGCTCCGTCCATTGGGATCTGCTGACCACAGCTGTGTGCACCTGCTGCCCATTTACAAAAGTGTTGTGAAGAGAGACAAACCTGAGATGAAGGACATAAAAGTGTGGACAGAGGAATCAGTCCTCCCTCTGCAGGAATGTTTTAGGTTACGGACTGGGACCTTTTGAAACAATCTTGTGCTGATGATTTAGACTCATTAGTGGATGTCACATGTTCTTATATCACTTTTTGCAGGGATGTGATTATTCCACAGAGGCGGGTAAAAATATATCCTAACAACAGACCATGGGGTACTAAATCAGTTAAGTCCTGTTTATATAAAAAATCTAATGCTTTTAAACAGGGAACAGTCTTTGACCAGCATTTAGCCAGAAAAGAACTCAATTCAGTTTATTTCTAAAGCAGCAAATCACAACAAAGTTGTCTCAGGGACTTTACAGGAACATTCACATAAAAGCCAGTTAGTAAAGTTCTCTATCTAAGGAATCCAGCAGACAAGTTGAATCTTGGCCTCGATGCAGTCTCCCATCCTGACTAAAGGTAGAAATTTCAAAAAGCAAAACAAAAGTACAAATCTGAACTGGAAAAGAAAATGGCCACAAATAAACTTGGCTCAGCATGGGCTAGGCCTTCAGAAGCCACCAAACACCCGTGTCACTATAGACTGATTTAATTCAGACTTGGAACTTGCAAACGCTCTCAAGTCATTTTATTGTTGTTTTGATACTGTACATGTGATTTTCACAAAGAAATCCAGAATTTAGAGCATAACCTTAAAGACACACAGCACTCTAACATCAGCCTCCAAGATGTTGAAAAAGCCTTTCAGTGTGTAAAAGTGAGCAAAAGTCACGGACCTGATAATGTTTGTGGTCGTTCTGTAAACTTTTGTGCCACTGAGCTGACTCCCGTTTTTCATTATATTTATAACAAGTCTCTGCAAACACAACATGTCCCTAACATCTGGAAAGATGCTGTTGTGGTTCCTGTCCCTAAATCCAGTCATCCCCAAACTGTTGGTGATTTTCGACCAGTAGCTTTGACCTCAGTTCTGATGAAAAGTTTGAAAGACTAGTCAGAGATTCTAAAGCAGACTCAGCATCTTTTAGATCCCATGCAGTTTGCTTACAGGCCTCACAGAGAAGATGCAACACTCACTTTGCTCAACCTGCTTTTAAACACCTAGAATCTAATGGGACACATGTCAGACTTGTGTTTGTGGATTGTTCTTCAGCTTTTAATACAATCCAACCTCACATACTAATCGAGAGACTTGTTGAACACTTTCCTCTGGGTAACAATGTGATGGGCTGGATCTTGGATGTTTTAAGTAACAGGACACAGAGAGTAAGAGTGAATAATTGTCTGTCTGATTTTAAGCACTCTTCCACCGGGTCACCTCAAGGATGTGTACCGTCACCCCTGCTTTTTATTTTATACACAAACATGTGTCAGAGCAGACATGACAGCAGGTTCATTATAAAGTACGCAGATGATTCTGTTATTGTCAGTCTGCTTGAAGCAAATGAAAGTGGCCATGGGCAGGTGACTGAAGATTTTGTTCAATGGTGCGAGGACTCTTTCCTCAAACTAAATATTGATAAGACAAAAGATATGATCATTGATTTTAGGAGGAAACCTCACAAGCACGAAGTCACTTTAATCAAAAGCCAAACTATTGAGAGAGTGCACTCTTACAAATATCTTGGGACAGTCATAGATGACGAACTAAACTTTGAAACCCATTTTGACAAAGTGTGTAAGAAGGCCCACCAGCGTTTATTTTGTCTAAGGAAACCGTCAATTTAATATTGACCGAACCAAGATGACCATGTTTTATTGAATCAGTTTGATCTTTCTCCTTGGTCTCATGGTTTGGTCAAGCAACGCTGAAAGAAAAGAGTTCCCTGCAGCAGGTTGTTAAGCTGTCGTCTAAACTGACCGGAGGAATCCAAACATCACTTACATCCCTGTACATTAGCCAGCTACAGCGGGTAGCTTCTTCTGTTATAAAAGATGTTCTTCACCGCCTTCACAGGGAGTTTCAGCTTCTTCCCTCTGGTCGGAGGTTTTTAGTCCCTAAATGTAGGACAAGACGTTTTAAAATAGCTTTGTTCCTGCTGCTCTTATTGAAATGAACAAACTGAACTGACACCGGTGTTCTCAGTGTTTTAACAGATTTGTATCTAATGATAAACTAACATTTAATATATTTTTATACTAGATGGATTTTAAAGTTTTACTCTCCTCTTTTATGTCCTACTTTGCTTTGAATTTGATTGTGGAGCCTTGAGCACTATCTTCTGTAAATGGTTTATTTGAGGTGTTCTTACTTTTAACATTGTGTGTACGCATGGATGTACGCTCATGCTCTGCACCACCAAAAACCAAATCTACCCTTGGGT